CACACACACACACACACACACACACACACACACACACACACACACACCCCTGTACTTTGTTTAAGTGTGCTATAGCTTCTCTGTTTAGTTGTCTTAAAGCTTTGTACTTTGAATTGAGTTTGTCTGGAATCATGTTTATAACTCTTAATTTTCAAGAATCAGCTGAAATTGAATAATCCAAAATAGTTTACTCTAAAAAGAGAAAAAAAAAATTTTATTTATTTTATACTGGAGATGGCCTAGCATAGGCTGAACCAGATTAAAATGTAATTGGGAAAACACTTTTTTTTTGAGGCAACCAGGGTTAAGTGACTTGCCCAGGGTCACATAACTAGTAAGTGTCTGAAGCTGGATTTGAACTCAGGTCCTCCTGACTCTGGGTCTGGAGCTCTAACCACTGGGCAACCTAGCTCCCCCTGTAATTGGGAAGTATTTAACAAAATGAATAAAAATATAATAGAACATAGATAATGCTAATATGTGGTTTTCTAAATCCACATGGCACTCACAGGGATCCTTATGGATGGATTGAGTTTGATGGTCATTGCTTTAAACCTTCAGTGTCTTGGTGCCTCAGGTATGTTCTCATAGACCCTACATTGTTGGATTCTGCTTTTTAACCCTTTTTGAAACTCTTTCCCTTTTCATAAGGATGTACCTTTCTTTTATTCAGCATTATAATAGTCTAGGTTTTTTTTCCCCTCAACTAGACATTGTAAATATTAATTCTTTTTACATATAATTTTTATAAATTTAAAAATATGTAAACATTTTATTTCAGTGATGTTAAACCTGCCGCTGCTTCTACACATGTCCCCCTAGATTCTCCCCAACAAGATTAAATAATTCCCAAATTTCTGCTGCCACTGAAGAAGGTTTTCAGAGCCTTTTCTGTCCCTCTCATGGTTCCAGACAGGACTGCTCTTTTGCTGTGGCTACCTCTGGCCTTTTCCTCCCACCTCCTCAAAATCACTTGTTTTGGAGTGCATGAGATGCCCTCTCATGGTGATCCAATTCTACCCCTCCATCTTTCTCAGGGTCACTTGCTGGTTTTTATTCCTCTTTCACAGGATTCAGTTTGCAGCGACTGTTTCCCAGATGGCCGGCCATCTGACAAACTGGGACCTCAAAGTGACGATAGTGAGATCTGTTCACAGCAGACTGTAGAGTCAAAACTCATTCATTCATTGGTTTAAAATCACTTTGACTTATTGACCTGTTTTATGGTTGAGCTATATATCAAAGGCCCTGAATAGATTAGATTTCCTCTTTAAGACTGTCTGGAATCCCTTTCTTAAGTTAATATTTTTTTTTTCTCTTACAAATACATGCTACATTTTACTAGGTCAAAAAATTTGGGACATCGTCCTATTTTTCTTGATTTATGTTATTTCCCATCCCCATTTCTCCTTTCATCCTTATGCTGGATGAGAAATCTTGTGCGATTTGGATCAGTGTTTTAAAATACGCGATGTGTTTCCTTCTGGCCATTTGCAATATCACCTCTCTCATTGAATCAGAGTTTGATGACAACATGTGGACGAGCTGAACTTAGCATGCATTTCTGTTGGTGTCCCTTCACTTACAGCCTTCTTAAATCCCCTCCCCATTGCACTGACTCAAATTCCATTTTCTCTTTGGTTTGGCCGATTCAGCTTTTTGTTCGGTCCGCCATCAGAACACTTCCATTCCTCAGTGCGGCCTGCATTTTGTTGAGATGCTCTACCCGTGGATCTCAGCACTGAGCCTCCTGGCCATCTTACCGATTCCATCTTTGTCGATGCTCACATCTTCCACTATTTCTTTTCATTAACTTATCATTTACATGGGAGAGTCTTGACGGTTCTAGATGCTGTTTCATTTCTGGGCTGTGGTTCATGTTATTTTCATCCTGTTTCTCCTTCTGGTGTCTTGTTTTCTATTGTCCCATGATACTTATTTGTCATACCCGCAAGGAGCTTCCATTTGAATGGAGGAAGGTGACATAATGGCATCAGAGGCAGGGTTTGAGCCTAGGTTCCTTGGCTTCAGAACAAGTGCTCTTTCCACTATAGTATGTTGGGGTGTGTCTGTGTGTATCTCTGTGTCTTTGGGGGTTATAAGGTGGGCATCCTTCTCTGAAAGAGCATAGAAAGAACTGGTTCTTGGAAGAAAGCATGAGACTCTGAGAGAATGTAGAGAGAGGGAGAAGAAGAGAAGGAGGAGGAAGAGGAGAAGGAGGAAGAGCAGGAGGAGGAGGAGGAGCAGAGCAGGGAAGGCCTTTGGTGTGGCTCTGGTGGCGGGTCAGGCGGTTTGAAGCTTGAGCCTCTGCGGCCTCTTTCTCTAGGTTTGTATCCTTCTCTTTTCCAGATCGAGGGCTACCTACTGGCAGAGATGGCCAGTGACACTTTGGTGGCTCTGTCCCGAAACCACTTTAACCTTGTCATGTATGAGCTGCAGCACCGTCTCAAACCCCTGATCCTGACCGATGAGTTTGTTCTCATCACGTTGGCCAATTTGGCCAATGCTAATGGTGAGGGCATCTCCCTTTCTGCCCCCTATCCACTTTCCATCTTCTTTTCCCTCTTCTCCTTCTCTCCCGTGTCTCTCCTTCTCCATCTTCTCTCTCTTTCCTTACCTATTTCTATCTTTCTTTCCTCTCCATCTCTCTTCCCTCTCTCACCTTCTCCTTCTCCTTCTCTTTCCCTCTACCTCAGCTCTACCCTCCCTGTGACCACAGGTGTGGAAGAGCCAAAGGCTGCTCTTGGTGGGTCTGGAGGGCCGGGGAGCTTGGAAGGCGATGGGGACAACTCCCTCATGCCCCCTCTGCTCATATTGTCCTTCCTTCACAGTATTTGAGTTTATGCCCTACATGGGGATCACACTGGCCACCATCTTCACCATGCTGAGACTGGCCAGAGGGGCCAAGATGCGCCAGGTGTTCTGCAGTGGTGAGTGCACTTTCCTAGTCTGGAGGTTCCTGAGGGGCAGGCGGGGGTGGGGGGAGTGAAGGCAGTAACTTTCTCCTGTAATCATTCATTCATCCACCATGCATCCATTCAACAGTATTGAGGATCTATCATTGTGCTAGATACTGGGAGTGGGGTACAACTGATGACAAAGGCAGTTTTTGCCCTCAAGCTGGTCCTAGAGTCAGGTCAATCTGAGTTAAAAATCAGACATTTACTAGCTATGTGACCCTGGGCTGATCACTGAACTTCTGTTTTCCTCAGTTTCCTCATCTGTAAAAGGAGGATAATAATAGCCCCTGCCTCCCAGTATGTGTAAAGTGCTTAGCACAGTGCCTGGCACATAGTGAGAGTCAGATAAATGTTAGCTTTTGTTATTCATAAGACAAATATGCAGGTAATACAAGGCATACTGCAGCATAAGAAAGGTTCAAACAAAATTCTATCCAAGTTCAGGAAGGAAAGGCCATACCTTTCTGGGAGAATCAGGGTAGACTTCACGACCAAAGTGGCATTCTGGTCAGAGGGACCATTTCTGGAGACTACCTGATATCTAATGACTTCATCCTAGATTTTACCATGAAATCTCTTTGTGGGTAAAGATATCCAGGTGCCTGATATTAAATATTCTAGGATGTGACCCCAGAATTGAGGTGGATAGGAAGAGGGGGACACAGGGATGGCTCTCCTGAGAGTGACCTTGGCAGTCTACAGCTGGACTTGGAGCTTCAGAGCTGGAGCAGGTTCTGGGCATGGAGACCTATTTGAGTGAGACGCTGGCTCCTTCCCTCCTTCTTCCTCACTGCCTCCTTTCCTCTGCTTTGCTTAACATGCAGCTATGGAAACATTTTGTGAGGCGATCCAATTTTACTTAAAGCACTGGGAGGACAGCGTGTACCCCATCATGACTGGAGAGCACTTCATGAATAAGCTTCTGCCCATGTACCGCCATTTTGTCACCGTGTGGCTCCGAAGTGAGAACACCGAGGTGAGCGGCAGCCACTGTGGAGGCCGTCCAGAACAGCAGGGGCAGGGAGCAGCCTCTGTCAGCTCCTCTTCCTCATCCTCCCTTCTTGTCCTTCTCTTCTCTTCTCCCTTCTCTTCTCTTCTCTTCTCTTCTCTTCTCTTCTCTTCTCTTCTCT